ACACTGGTGACCCTACTGCTCGTCCTACCCCCAACATCTTCCCTGCACCCGGACTCAAGTGACAGCGCCACGTGGACATCTTCAAACCCACCCCACCCCACCCCCAAGGGCAGAGCTCAGCTGCATCTCTTGCATCACAAGATTTCCCAATCAAGACCATTCCCATCAGCAAATTTCTTCCTTATATTATAAAAAAGAAAACCTCGTTCAAGGCCACTTCCTCCTCCAGTAACACTCAATTGACCCAGCCCGCGGTCTCCACTTCCCCCCCCTCCCAAGCTTCCTGGAAGCCCACACCCCCAGCACAGGGAGTATGGAAAGGCTCCAGGCAAAGTCACCAATGGTCCCAATGACCCCCACTCTGGGTCTCTCTTTCTGTCTGATTAATCTGGAGTTTTTCCACCTGGGCACTCCTGTCATTTGGGGATGGGTGATTCTTCATTGTGGGGAGGGCTGTCCTGTGGTTGTGGGATGTTTAGCAGCATCCCTGGATTCTACCCACTAGATGCCAGGAGCATCCCTTCTCCAGTAGTGACAACCAAAAATGTCTCCAGACAACGACAAATGTTTGCTGGAGGAGGGGGCAGCAAAATTGCCCCCAGTGCAGAACTACCTTCTTTCTCTGGTTCTCTTCTCCCTGACTTAGGAAGTGGGTGTGACCTCAGGCTGCTCCCCTCGGTCCGTGCTGCATCGCTACCCTGAGTATCACTCAGCTTCATGCCCAAGGGCCCAAGACAGCTCCCTCGACCCCAGGCTCCAGATCTTCCATCCTCTTGCCTACTCAGCATCTCCCAACCTCAGAAGGGCCCCTGCTGGACCTCCTGACTTTGCCCCAGACCTGCTCCCCCCAACCCGTCCTCCTATTTCTCAGCTGATAGCAACTCCATCCTGCCAGGTGCTCAGTAGGATAAAGAAAGAAGGAAACACACACACACACCCCTCATCTGGGCTAGGAAATCCTGTTGGCTCTACCATGGGCCAACTCTCACCCTGACCCCTGCCTCCCAGCTTGACACAGGTCACCTCCAGCTAGAGTTTACCGCATCACTGGCTCCCGTGTCTACAGTGGGAGTGTCAGGAGAGCAGGGGTTTAGCCTGATCATGGCTGAGTCCCTAGGGCCCAGCTTCCGGTAGATGCTCAATAAAATCATGATTGCATCACTGGCTCCCGTGTCTACAGTGGGAGTGTCAGGAGAGCAGGGGTTCAGCCTGATCATGGCTGAGTCCCTAGGGCCCAGCTTCCGGTAGATGCTCAATAAAATCATGATATGTAGACATGCCCAGAGGTCCGAGCCTGGCTAAAGCCAGGGCAGAGTGCAGCCAGGCTAGTGGATAGGTGTGGCACAGAGGGGTTCAGGGACTCCAGAACAGTCAGAGGTGCCTCCCCCAGAAGCCCCTTCCCCGCCGGAGCCTCACATTGTTCTTGGCATTGGGCCGCATGCCAATGGTGCCAAAGATCTCCTCGCCTGTCTTCACTGTCAGGTAGTCCTCCATGTAGAACACCGTCTGCTTCCAGTGCGTGTATGGGGACTCAGGGCCTGGGGGCAAATGCAGGTCAGCCAGCCCTTCCTGCTGTCCCTCTCTGCCCCAGGCCTTCCTCAGCCAGCCACCACAATGACAGTTTACTGAGTGCTGACTGTGGTCACTTTAGCCTTACCAAGCCTTGGAAACAGGGACTTTATCTATACTCTGTGGGTGAGGAAACTAAGGCACAGCACATTCAGGTCACTTGCAGAAAACCATGCAGCTGTTAGATGGCAGGGCTGGCATATGAACATAGGTGTCCCCGTGGCTCCCCATCCCCATTTCTGTCACACACACCCCCATCCCTGAATCCCGCTGGCCTCTCCTCTACATGGGCACGCCTTAACCCTGGCTGGGGGACTGCCTGCCCCATGCGCACAGCCACAGCCACAGCCAACTCACTGGTGGAGAAGCCAGTCCTCTTGTGGCAGCGGGTGAACTCGATGTTGAAGTAGGCCACAAGGGCGTGCACGTAGTCGTTCCGCTTCACTTGCAGGCAGAAGGGGGAGGTGAAGGTCAGGTCTTCCACCTTGACAGTGTAGATGTCCACCTCCTGTGGGACAGGCCCCATGAGCCCTACGCCTCCTCAGATTCCCAGGACCCTCATGCCCTGGGGAGAGTCTGAGCTCCAAAATGCGGCCCCCACCCCTCTTTAAGTCCATCTCCTTCCACTCTTCCCTCCATCCCCCTGGCTCGCTTACCCAGCCCAGGGTTCTCCTTGTGCTCAGTAAATGCCCAGCCTCCTTGAGCCTGTGGCCATGCTATCCCCTTCCCCACTGGTCTTCCCAGCCTGGTTTCAGGCCTCGGCTTCTTATTCATTTCTCATCCTGCCTGTCCCCGCTCCCAACATCCAGCCCAGTGGTCAAACACAAAACCTGGGGTGCCATGGCAGATTCCTTGTTCTCTTTTCTTCCATGTCCAAACCCCAACTTGACAATTCTACCCTAACTCTGTCCAGAAGCCACCCATTTGCCCCTCTCCCTGTCTAGCCAGAACATCAGCATCTTCACTGCAGCAGCCTCTTAATAGAGCTCTCTGCTT